AGTATTGTAAAGCAGTTATACTCCAATAAAGACCTATAAAAAAAAATAACACTCAAAATTCCCATGAGTGTATGGTGGGAGAATCTTTGTAAGCCTTCCTGGTTTTAGGCTGTGAGTTCCTTAAAAGAGCACCTTCCTCCATCTCCCCTCTGCCCAGCAGCCTTTACAGTGGCTACCTGGGTCTCCCTATCTGATGGACTCTTCCCTACAGTACCTGCAACTTTAAATGAACAGCCTGAGCTCATCCAGGCTGTGCTGTTAAATTGTGTCATGCTTGCTTAATATGGATGGCACATCCTCCCAGGAAACTGGAAGTGCCAAGTGTTATTAATTTCCCTTCAGTGTTCCAGTTTTGTCACTGGCATAGCTTTCCTTTCCAACTGTGAAAGATACTGCATTTTCAAGTGCAAAGACTGAGTAAGAACGTGTGAGGGTGGAGGCATCAAACCCCGCATCTCCCCCCTTCTTGACCTGTACGGTCTTGCTACCTGATTACCTCCAGAGCTATCCCAGACTCCTTGGTGCTCTATGTGATCTGGCAGATGGGAGACCCTGCTGTTAACCTGAGCCCCCTATTTCTCCACGAACATGCGAGTTGCATTTTTATGTTGTTTTTTTTTCCTTAACGAGGATGTTGCTTGCTGACAGCTTGAAGTGGCCCTCAAATTCCCAAAGATTGCAGTTCAGTTTAATTTCAGGTAGATCAAAATATTTGGCAAGGACACTTTCCCTCTCTATATGTAGATCAACTTAGGGACTCAGAGAAATGACAAATGGTTCACCTGAGTTCTCAACAAAATGTTTGTTAAGATTTATTGGTAGATTTGAAATAAATGCAGGGGCTGGCTTTTTGGTGGGTAACCCTGAGATGTACCAACTTAAAAGCTACAAGTGCTTTATGGTTCCTGCTAAACATTTTTGGTATAGAATACTCCCATTACTAAGGAGCCTATTAATATTTTATTTTTCTCCTCAACTTGGGGTAGGGGTAGATATGGGGAATAATTAAAAACCTTGAAGAAACTCAACATAGAAATATCTGTAATTGAAGAGAAGATAGCATTATAAAGAATAATTGGATACATATGTGTGTGTGTGTATGTCAGTTGTATTATATATTTTATACATTTATATCATATATATCAATTGCTCTCTATGTGATATATACTACTGATTTTCTGCATAGTATCAAGCGATTTTCCCTTCTCTCTGTCTCTATAGTAACAGTTCCAGTTATATATATAAAACTGGATATATATATGTAATTGGAGATGTATATATATGAAATTGTATATGTATATTTTTGATACCCTGTGTAGAAGACTCCATTCCTTTTGCCTATGAAGCTTCTTATCCATTCTTTAAGAAAGACATGGGTGGAAGAGCACGTCTTCTGTACACCTTCTCCATGCTCCCAAGCAATCTTGCCCACTTCCTGTTTTCTGTTCCCCTGGCACTTTGCACAAGCAAAAGTCTTCTTCAGCTTGTTACACGGTAATTCTCTACTGACTGTTCTGTGTACTCACCTGACCCGTGTCTCCTTAAGGGCAGGGACCGTGTTTACACTTGGACTTCCCAACACGTGGTAGGTGCTCAATAACTATTATATTAACATGTCCCTTCGTAGAGTAATTTGAATTTTAACAGCGATACCATGATAAACATTAAGTTGCAATTATATATAGTATCATTACAGTTTGGTGTATCTCAGTTCCAAAAATGTTTGGCTTCAAAGAGGAATACAATTTCAACATAAAATGTGTTTGGTCAGTCCATTCATTTACTACTGATATTGAAGAGTGAATATAATCGTAAATCTATGAAATATCTTTGGATTTTCTGTGTCTCCTTTTTTATCTTGGAAATTTGGAAAAGTAAAAATAATCATACACATTCCTCAGAATTGTGGTGGTGAGGATAATTTTATGAAATTCTTTGACTTTGCATCCTGCACTGAGTTTCTTCCATCTCAGATCAGGCTCGTGCCTGTCATGGAGTTAAAGGTCTAGTGGGTGGGTCCCACATGTGCTAATGCAATGTCATTAACTGTGGGGAAGGCAGAGGCTGTATTGCTTAGTTCAAGGAGATTAAGCAATAGCTCTTTATTCTAGAGAAATGGACTTTGCATGGTGTAACTCCACATATCCTTCCAAGAATTCTGCAAACTTTCTTCCTGAGGATTGGAACATGGAGGCCTACATCACTCAGTCTTCCCTTCAGTTAGTTCGGTCTGTTGTCAGTGCTGTTTAGTTTGCCTTTTCAGATTCCAAATCTTTGGCTTCCCTGCCAAACGTACATACATAGACACATACATACACATACACAGATTGCATACATACAAACACACATATGCACATACATTAAACAAACATGTATACACTCAAATACACTTACCACCACTTATACATACAGATATACACACACAAGCACGGGTACCCATATGTAGATACATAATTACTCAAACACATGATATATGCAAATGCATACACACACAGACGTGAATACACATGAACACACACACACACTTATGTAAGCACATGTACACGTGCACACATGCCTACATACCCATATGAATCACCTTAGATGCTTTGCCTCATTACTTAAATTTTTTTCCTACTCTTCTCTTAACATCCCTAAGAAATTCTGGGATATGGGGAAGGAACAGAGTGCTGTTATTTATTCTCTCCCTTATGATTCTAAGAAAGGTTTGCTGACATTTCCACACCCACTTGGGGTGAGTTACCTGCAATCTCCAGGCTAGTGGCTGTCAGGAAAGGCCTTCCTCTCCAGCACTGTGTGGTCAGTCCTAACGTGTCTCCTCATGGCTTTGCTAGACTGGCATTAATATTGGCTAAGACCCAGGCTCATTCATTTGCAGCTCTTAAAATGAAGCCACTGGGGACCAGGGGTCTCAGTGAACACTAGGCAACCCTGAGGCCCAAACCCATTACCTGTCACTGGCAGGATGTGGACTTTTATTTGTCCCTAGTCTTCCTGCCCAAATAGGTGGAATGGGTTTAGACTGCAATTTTAGTGACATATATATCACTTAATATAAATACCACATTTCTTCACAGCAAAGGCTGTTAACTGTTAGAATTGTTTCCCAAGAGAGTTTGCTGAATCTGTATAAAAGTATTTGAAAGTGGGGGCATTTTCTATTTATCTGGGAGAGTATCTAAGTGGGTGAATTATTCAGACAGCCTTTTAATGTCCTAAGCACAAACATTACCAGAAGCTTCCTGGGAAGTCCTTTTTTCGCACTTGGCAAAATATTTTATGATTTCAAACACCAAACCAATGGACATAAAAACCTAGACTTAAGGTGGTTTTCACCTCGTGCTCTTCAATTAGACATTTTATGTCAGTGGCAGAACTGCTTAGCCCCTGTTGCACCTCAATGTTATTTCAAGAGAGAAGTGTACAGTGGCTTAACAGCAAGGAGCCATTTGAAACCTCAAGTCTAGTGACAGTTGTAGTATTCATGTCTTTGGCAAGTCCCTCTCTCTCTCTTTATGCTCTTTATTTTTGTTTCTCAACAGGCAGACCTAATGTCTTAAAGGTATTCTTTGAAAATTTCATTAAGCCCTGTTGGTATAGCGCTCCAAAGATTGTTCTGCTTTGTGGGAATGAAGTTACAGAATGCCTTTGAAACCACTAGCTGTAACTCTATCACTGAAAAATGATTCACTGTTTATTGTTCACTGCTTAGTATTGTGGTCACTCAGTATTGTTTTAAAAATATAATTTGGGAATTCCCAAGAATTTCTGGGGATTTGAATTTCTCATTGCTGAATCTTGAAGCCTAGTATGTGTCAGGAACTTGCGAACACCAGATCTTGTCATTTGCTTTTTCCTCTGTGTGAAACACTCTTCCCCATCACTGTTTCTGGCTAATTCTGATTCATCCTTTCTGTCTTAGTATAAATGTCACTTCATCTGGGGAGCCTTGCCAGATCTTTAGACTATACCACTCCCCTCACTGGTCTTCTAAATTGTGTATCTTAACTCACTTCACCCTTTTGGTAATTGTTTGAATAATTGTTTAATTGCTACTCCAGTCCCTGTGCAATGAGCTCTGTGAGGGGAGACCCTAGGAGTGGCCAGCAGTCTTGTCCATCACTATATCCTCAGTGTCTGGAGAGTGACTGACCTGTACCTGGCCCTTAAGTGGTGAATGAATGAATGAGTAAATGAATGAATTTACTGAGCATGCACTGTTTGCCAGGCACCAAGCAAGGTGCTAGGGGAAGAATTGATAAATGAGACTTGAGGAGCTTGCCTTCTAGTGTAGAAGAACACAGAGGAACTGAGCATTAAGGTGTGCCAGTTGCCGCATGCAGGTATGTACCGAGGCCTGAGGGGGGCCAGGCTTGCGCCTCCCCCTAGACATTAGGACACATTTCGGGAAGCTGGGTGAATAACTTTCTAAAGTTCAAACTTTGAAAGGCTTTGTAGTATTGAGGTAAACTTAGGCATTTAAAAATATATGCATTAAGCAAATGTTTATCATGCACTTGTTGCAAAGGAAATAATTCCTAGGCGCTAGGAAAATGACTTTTATGTTCCTTGCCATTTAAGGAATGACTTAAATGTGAAAAACATGCATTTGTTTTCTTCAAAAATTAGCGTCTAGGCTAGGCCTAAGTATGATTTAGTAGAATTAAGAAAAAGTGTTCTAATAAATGTGTCTCTCTGTTTAAACTATAGCAATTTCCCTTGAAAAACCTTTGGCTTTTTCTTTTTGTTTTTCCAAATAAACGAAAGCTGCTATAAAGAAATCCATTGATAGGAAAATGGCTGATAATTAATATCAAAGTTCTGTCACTCTGGGATCCTGTTATCCACCAGAAGCCCTCGAAAGAGGTGAGCTGGTAACATAGATGGTGAAATGTATGCTTTCAAAGGTAAAAGTGACGTTATGTTTTTGAGACTTGTCTGAAAGAAGAGGCCTCCCTGAGAACATGAACACACACTTAGAGTTTTCTCATTCTCAGCAGGCAGTCTGGTCTGTGGTCTTACTCCATCCTTTCCAGGAGAGGCATCCTTCTAACTGCACCAGCCCACTGCATATCTTCCCTCCTCCAAGAGGGACCGGAGATGTCACGAACGTATCCTACCCTCCTTACCCTGGGGCTTGCAGTGGCCGTTCCTGAGAAGCAGGTGTGGACTGGAAAGAAGCTGTGGGGCTCTCTCTGGCCACATGTGGCATCTGTGAGAAAGAATCCAGCCAGACAGAATAACTGAGCTCTCTGAGAGAGCCTGAATCTGCTTTGAAGAGAGGAATTGCACAAAGGAAGTTTCTGCAAAGAACACACTTCTCATGGGCCCTCTCATTTGTCCTGGAAGTGTCAGCCTCTGTCTTAAAACCTCCAGGCTCAGAACCTGGGAAGATTGCTGCCTGACTACTGCAACCTGTAGGACAACAATGATATAATTCAGCCTCTATGCCTGCTTCTCTGGACTTTGAGAAGGAAAGATGACAAGTCCCTCTGCATTCCATCTACCTGCTCAGCCAGCATCTCTTAGTACTTGCTATGGGCTGGGCACCGTGTGAGGTACACACCTAATAAAATCGAAACAAGTGCCTGCCCTGATAAGCTTATGCCCCAGTAAGGGAGAGAGACGGTATCAATGTAACTAGTAAACTTCTCACGTTAGGTAGTGATGAGAGCTAAGGAGAAAGCGATAAAGCAGGTGAGAGGTTATGAAATGTTCCAGTCAGGGAGAGTGAAGCAGCGTGATGTGTGAGTGCATGCAATTTTAGATAGGGTTCCCCAGGAAGGGACCTCTTGGAAGAGAGGGGTTAGCCAAGTGCATATTTGGATGAAGATGTGATGTATGAGGAAGCTCTAAGAACAGTGGGGAAGCTGGTGTGGCTAAAGCAGATCAAATGTGGAGAAGAGTAGAGGAGATGAGGCAGAGGGGAGCCAGTTCCTGTGAGGCCCTGTAGGTCCTGGCCAGGCCAAGTCTTCTGGTCTGAGAGCTGTAAAGCCTTTGCTTCATTCCCAACACATGGGCTCTGACCCAGAGCTATCTGTGGAAGCATCTTCCTTAGAAGGGCAAGTCTGCCTTCAAACAGCACCAGGATATATTTGTAATTATTTTCATGTGTTAACAGGTCTTTATTCGTTTTGGAATTGCTGATTACTGGGATTTGGTGGAACCATCAGTAGGTAGTTTCCTAAATATGGAGGCAGTTTCCCACAGGTTTCCGGGATATAGCCAGGGAGATCTTGTATTGAAGCAAAAATTTAGGACAGTTGCCTTCTCTTACACATTCCACTCCATGCTTCTCTTTGCTTGGAACTAGGCCTTCTATTCCCTCACTATTCCATACAACTTTATTCCACACTTCCATCCCCAACTGTTCCCTGTTAAGAATACAGTTGGCAGATTTAGACTGTCCCCTCCCCCTCCTGAAATGAAGCGTGATGATTATGTTTGTTATTTGGATTACAGGGGCTGGATGAAAGCTGCCCTTGCTTCTTAAAAACCCCTTCACCTTTCCTCTTCTGTGAAGTGGGTATAATGATAATCTCCCTCTGAGGGCCTCTGGGATGAACAGAGGAGATATGACCGTTAAAAGAGTGAGGGCATTTCCTGGAGCTTTTCTTTTTAGTTTCTTTCTCTTTCCGTGAAATAGTTTGACTCTAACCCATTTCCCTTTTGTTTCTAGCCTTATGTTCCACCAGTGTAAAAACAACGTCAATCTACTGTACAGAAAGCGGGTCAGACTTCTTTGGGGCCTATCTATTATAATGAATGGTATCCTTTTTGAAAACCAATCATTGTGTTAATTCATCTGTTAATTATGGATGTAATTCGCAAATATTTGATAAGTGTTACACTGTACCAGGAATCCCAGACAAAGGGCTGCCATTCCCACACGTAACAGAGTATATATCCCAGCAGGAAATATAGACATTCAATAAGCAATGGCAAGATTTCTTAGCGGCAGAAGTAAAGAGCTCCACAGTATTGTTAGAGGTGGCTAAGGGGACAGCTTAAAAGAATCTGCACCTTCTGAGGCTTAGAAACAATCCTTAGCGGTATTTGTTGTTGTTGTTACTATAAAAATCTTCCCATTTCACTAATGTTTCCCTTTACCTATTTCAGCATATCGTTTGATTTCCTATTTTAAGCTTTAAAATATGCTGACTTTGTATGCATCATTATGATACACCTCAACCTTGCCAATGGAGGTGATAAAAACCCACGTCCATACTTTCAGAGGCCCACAGCCGTCCACTGTTAGAGGCAGCTGCCTGGAGCAGGTTTTGGATTTGCTGAGCACAGTCAAAACTGGCAAGATCAAACCACCCATTTTCCAAATTACCCCAGCTTTCCTCACTGTGACTTTACCAGAAACCTGTGTGGCAAAAGTTTCCAGCTTACATTTTGTACTACAGTAAATCACATTCTATTCCCAAGGATGCAAAACAGAAAGTTTCTTAAATTGTTCAACAGCACAGCATGTCTTTCCAAACAGCCTGCCTAGGTTTAAAAGCTACCACTGACTATTTATTAGGAGCACCGTTCTCACTGAAATGAAATTCTTGGTCATACAAACATATAAAAAAATGAAGCCCAATAGTGGTTTTCTCTATCCTTGATTATCTCTTCGCTGTGCAAAGAATCATGTAGCTCTCCCCTATGTGAAAGAAGAAGAAAGGAAAAGCTCTGAAAATGCTGTGGTGCCTGAGAAGGGGGCTCTAACACTTGGACATCTTGTGTGTGAGGAACGATTCCCATCCTTATGCCGCTGTCATGGAGCTTGGATATTTACAGACCTCCTGCTCTTGACAAGTTTGTGCTAATTTACATAGTCTCACACCACTCCCAATTTATGGCAGAATACATCTCACATTTGTAACATACTCAGGGCTCTTCGGAATTCTAACCTTGCTAGCTAGAAACACAGTTTCTAGGCAGGCAAGAAGGAGAAAGAAGCAAGGATTGGCTACATCTCTTGTTCCCTTTTCAAAGTCTGATCCCAATCAACTCTCGAAATTCTCAAGAATCCTTGAAGTTGGGGACCTGTGGCTGATGGAACTCGAGCCAACCCATGTATTGTTGCCTTTGGAAAGTGGCTGCTGTGATCAGTTCTCCTTGGCCGTGTGCTGGGTCGGAGCCCTCCCAGCCTGCCCTGCCTGATGGAAGCTGTGCTTGCTCCAGGTTTCCACTAGAGACCTCTAGCTGCTCACAGGACGGCTGGGGAGCGTTCTCAGGAACGGGCGTTCCTGCAGAAGCAGCAGAGGTTAAGAGTTTGCCAGTGGCCCCTGGGAGGAGGGGAAGTTCGCCATCAAAGGAAAATCTGTATTATCTCTTTCTTTCCTTCTCATTTTTTTTTAAACAAATTGAGGCTTATTCAAACAGCTGTGTTGTGACAAAAAAAAACTGAAGAAGAAAGAATTTCTGTGCCTTAAAACAATGCCATAGAAATGCCAAAAGAGGGATTTTTTTTTCTAGGTTGAAAAGCCCCTTCTTCAGTTGGAAGCCAGGTTCCATGCTCAGCCTTTGAGAGCCTCTCCTGTCAGTGTGAGAGAGAAAGAGCTCTGTTCACAGGTAGTGAGCTACTGGATGTTATTATGAAGCTGAACTAAATGCCTTCCATATCCCCACATGCCCCAACCTTTTACTGCAACCCCTGGGTAGGCTTCTCCTGGGTTCTTGCCACCTTCAATGGGAGTCTGTAGCTATAATCCCATGTAACAGCAACAGATGGGACACATCTGTAAGGAGAGACTAGCAGATGAAGTTTCACCATTTTTCCAAAAAGGCAAAACACATTAATCTCCATTTGCCTTTGAATGGTATGTAATAGAAACAGAGGACCAAAGGGGGAAGTAATCTCCCTTCATTTAACCTGTGCCCCTGTGAAAAATTGCTGTAGCTTATATTTCAGAATCTGAGTGTAACTAATTTTGCTCTCTACCCATGGTCTTTACCATACGCAGCATTAGAAAGAGAATCAAAACAGGATTAGGTCAATGGGTCTAGAAAGCCTTGCAAGAGTTGATCAAAACTTCTTCAGAGACTCTCTAACATGTTTTTCTCTGAGATAATTGTGGATTCTCTACATCTATTTTTAGGAAAAAATCTTGCCATTCTCTTAGGTAGACTGTTATTTGTTCACTCATTTATTCATTCATTTATCAAGTGCCTACAATGTGCTAGTCACTGTGATTTACACGGGGAACATAAATAAAGATGCACAAGAACTTGAATGGGGGTTCCTAACACTGGCTCCACAGATTCCTAAGAATGAATGACTCTTTTAAGATGCCTGTTAATCCTCCTAGGGGTTGTGTGTGTGTGTGTGTGTGTGTGTGTGTGTGTGTGCACTTTAACTGGTGAGAAAAGGCCAAGATTTAAAACAATCCTTAAAGAGGTTGATGTAAAAAAAAAAAAAAAGTTAATAACGATTGCAGAGGCTAACAGTTATGTAAGCGGATAATTAGAAGACTACATTAAAATTGCCATATAATAGAGCTGCTTGCAGTATCATATGAGCTCACGGGTGGAGTTATCACAAGTGTCCCTGACGCAGAGGTCAGGGAGGGCTGTAGAGAGAAGGTAGCATTTGTGTTACCTATGGAGGATGGGTAAGAATTTGCCAGGTGGCTGGAAGGGAGAAGAGATGGAAGCCATTGTGCCCTGAGGGGCAGCTCACCTCCGGAGTCTGAGGCTACCCTACAAGCTGGAGCATGATTGGCATTTTTTTTCACTGTAGCTTGACAAATGGAGCCTGCTTTGCCATTAGTCAACTATTACAGGAATAGGAATTCCACAGGCATGCCCTGGCTGACCACAGATGGCTGAGAGCACATGTCAGTACGGAAACGCCCCAAGGCTGGTGTGGCATGATCCAAAAGATCTCCAATGCTTGGTGCTGGGCCAGGTTGCAGGGCTGCCTGACCTTAACACAAAGTTGCTGCTCTGCAGCTCTGACCTGCACTGTGGGTGGAGTACCCACTGTGGTGGACAGAGCCCCGCATGGAGGCAGGAGAGCTAGCCCCAATTCTGCACCTGGCCAGCTGCCTGCTCCCTCACTACCGCCAGCCACTCCATCCTCTTCCACATAGAAGAGTCACCATCTATTGAGAACTTCTAAATTCCAGCTTCTGTGCGAGGTGAATTACCTGCCTTGTTTCACTTAACTCTCCCAACATCCTACAAAGTAAGAGTTAGCTTCCTCATTTTCTAAAGAGGTAAACTGTGGTCAGAAAATGTAATTAACTCCTTTGAGGTCTTGCAGTTAAAAAGCTGTGGTGATACCAGCATGAGAACCATAGTCTTTCTGACTCCAAAGCCCATAACCATTTTGGTTCATCTCATTCGTTCTGGATAAGTCTCCATCTTGATAATTCAACTGTGTTTTAAATGTCATCATCTTGAGGCTATTGACTTATTAGTGAAATAACAGCTGCAAATGTCCTTTGACACTTAGTTCTGCAGAGCCAGAGTAATGTATTAGGTATATAGTGCTTATCTGGGGAGTCACAAAGCTGAATTTTTCTGCAGTTGTGCTAAATTTTGACAGTAATGACAGAATTTGATATGAAATTTACAGGATATATTTGAGGCTAAGATTAAATTGTCTTCTCTTTGATCTGGATAGTATCACTGAGATCTGATTATACCTTTAAAAGTAAATGAGTTTCACACTGTACAAGCAAATCCAGATTTTAATCTGAGAATTATTACTTTATCAGGATCTATCAATAAAGTATACCATTTGACATAATACAATAAATTGTAAGTCACAGGTCTTTTTAAGAGAAGGAGGTTGATTGGCCTAACTGATAAATATTTTAAAATTTATCTAGCACATTGTTGAATGCAATATTTAATATTTTTTCTATATTTAAAGTAGCTTATTCAATATATTTTAATTATGCCTACAGCAAGTGTTATAATCTGAGAAATTAACAGTCAACAAATGCAGTCCTTTGATAACATCTTTGGCAACTTGAGTTATTTCAAATGAAAAAGGCAGTTCTGTATCACTATTTCCTCCAAATCTTTAAACTGAGCAATTGTTTGTGGGAATTCCACAAATATTAAAGAATTCTGGTTATTGTGTTTTTCCATATTAAAAATTAGACTATAACCATATTAAAAGAGACTTCCTTCTGCTGTATTTCCTAATCTTAAATTTGAACAGTTTGTACATCCATTATAGCACGTTACGGAAATACCTTTCTAGCAAGAATGCCAGTTATAGAATCCAAGTCTAATTTGTGGATATTGTGATGTAGTAGCAATGAAGAGCCCTGTTATAGAGTAAGACTGACAGTCATTCAATTAACTTTATAATGGGAGGCTCCAAAATCCCAGGTAATATTGTTAGGCACTATGCTTTAAGACAAGGCAGTTGACAAGGTATTTTTCTTTCTTGAGATTTGCAAGTCTCTCTAACTTTCAGAAACAAAACAAGTAGGTGGATATAACTCTTATCCAGCCTTTTAGTTGAAAAGTAAAAAGGCAATTAGTTACTCAGCCAAGCGTCTGGCTCTTCAATAGGAGATATATATATATATATATATATATATATATATATATATATATACTTATCTCCTATTGGTTCTGTTTCTCAGAGGACCTTGACTAATCTAGACCCTATTTCATTTTATAAAGGGAAGGCAAGGTGGACTTGGCCATAGATCCCAAGAACAGTATAACTGATGTACCTTTGTTTACATTTGAATTTTTGTTTTTCTCAGAAGGGTGTAAGCTGTCCTAC